GCCCCTGGAGTGCCCTGGGGATCCGCATCGCGGGCCTGTGCTGGTGACTCGGAGCAACGCGGCCACATCAGAGCCGGTGCCATGGGGCGCTCCCACATCCCCACCCCGGCTCAGCAGCTGGGGCTCCTGATGCTGGTGCTGCCGCTCAGCCTGGTCTCTGCCGTGCTGCGGGGCAAGTAGCCCCACGTAGGTGAGCGCCGCACCGCACCACGCTGCACCGTGGTGTGGTGTGGCATGGGATGGATTGTGGTGGCATGGAGTGGTGTGGTGTGGTGCAGGGTGGCACGGGGGGCTGTGGTGTGGGGCCAGGAGCGGCTCCCGTCTCACCCAGCTCCCAGAGATCCTGGAGAGGTGCCAGAAGAAGTCAAAGTGTCGGACAACTGCAGCAAGAGACCGGTTGAAGGAGGAGAGCGGTGAGTGTCCCCAGCACCGAGCGCCCTGCAAATGGCCGACACCCCACGGCAGCCCTGACCGATGGCTGCCCGCGGGTCCCACCAGAGGGGCCGGGGTGCAGCGGGGTCTCTTACCTCTCCTCCTCTACGACAGGGTGAGCGTGGCAGTGTCGAGCGGGGAGCACCTGTACCCGTGGGTCCTGCTGACTTCCTGCACTCCCTGGGCTCGCTGGCCTCCCTGTCGGGGAGCAGCTCCTCTTCCCTGGGCTCCCTCAACTCCTTCCCGGTGCCCTGGCCCAGTGCAATGGCAGAGCTGGCAGCACTCACCCACTCAGGACCCCCCCAGTTCCCCAAGGCTCTCGGGGGGCTGGAGGGTGAGCTGGGGCCGGCCCTTGGCCAGGACCCGCCACTGGAGCTGCCAGCGGGGACAGAGCAAGAGCAGGTCCCCGGGGAGAGCAGGGACAGGGCGCAGAGCCCCGCGGACATGGAGCTGCCCCCTGGCAGCCCCCCAGCCGTGGCCACGGACAAGGGGGAGCTTGTCCTGGTGCTCATCCGTGCTATCCGGGCCAACCAGGCGGTGACCGAGCGGCGCTGCGAGCTGCTGGCTGGACCAGGGCAAGAGGCAGAGGGGTGCAGCGAGGGGGCCTGCGGTGGGACCCCCCGGGGAGCCCTCCCGCCCGCCCACCAGGGTGGGGGTGCAAGACGAGGTGGGGCTGCTGGGGGCCAGAGTGTGCCCCCAGTGCCTTGGAGTGGAGCTGCCAGGGGTGGACATGGACGAGTCTGCAGATTGGGACATGGACCAGGACCCGGGTCCAGAGAGAAGCAGCTCCACGGAGCTGGAAAGGAGCAGCTCCATGGACTCAGGCAGGAGCTGCCCAAAGGAGTTGGGCAGGAGCAGTCCTGTGGAGTTGGGCAAGAGGACGCAGATGGAATTGATGAGGAGCAGCCCCAATGGGGCCCCAGGCAGGATCATCCCCGCTGCTGCAGGCAGGAGCACCCTGGCAGAGCCCAGTCCCCAGGAGCAGGTGCCCGCAGGCAGGGCATGTGGCTGGGCGGCCAAGGAGCTCTGGAGGGCGGGAGCTCCCTCACTGCACCCCACTGCCTCTTGCCGCTGGTCCAGCGCTGCCCTCAGCAGCTCGCAGCGCCGCTCGGTCACCGCCTGGTTGGCCCGGATAGCACGGATGAGCACCAGGACAAGCTCCCCCTTGTCCGTGGCCACGGCTGGGGGGCTGCCAGGGGGCAGCTCCATGTCCGCGGGGCTCTGCGCCCTGTCCCTGCTCTCCCCGGGGACCCGCTCTTGCTCTGTCCCCGCTGGCAGCTCCAGTGGCGGGTCCTGGCCAAGGGCCGGCCCCAGCTCACCCTCCAGCCCCCGAGAGGCTTGGGGAACTGGGGGGGTCCTGAGTGGGTGAGTGCTGCCCCCTCTGTGGCACCCAGCAGCTCCCTGCACCCTTCTCTGGCCGGTGTGGGCAGATGCGAGGGGCTCGGGAGGGACTGGGACATTTCCCTGGGAATCAGGGGTGGCAGCTGATGGAGTCCCACTCTCTGCAGGATGGGGCGGCCTCGCAGGGCTTCAAAGACGGGGAGAAGGAGGAGGAGAAGGAGGAGAGGAAGAAGAAGCAGGAGATGTAGAAGGGGAAGGTGAAGGGTAAGTGGAAGGGCAAAGGAGCAGGAGGAGGAGGAGGAAGGAGGAGGAGGAGAAGGAGGACCCCCACACCTGGCCCTCCAGCGAACAGCAGCAGTGGGCAGAGCTTTTGAAATGAAAGAGGATCCCCTCGATGCTGAGCCCAGGTCCTGCCCAAACCCAGCCCGGGTCCCTCCCTCCTGAGCCCAGGCCCTGGATGCTTGACCCCAGCCCGCAGCCGAGCTCCCCCCGCCGCTCGCTTCCCCCAGCGGGCTGG